TTAGAGCACAAGTAGAAGCAGAGAGGGAGTAAGGTCTGCCCTCAGCACAGGTCAATGTACGCAGGCGACAAAGAATGAGAGAGGAGGGAAGGTGAGAGGGAAAGGAGGAGAGTAGAGAGAATGGACTTATGTTATGTGTGTTCCTAGGTGCACCTCCATGAGTCCACTTGAGGCATGTGAAAGAGAAGGTTTGGGTTTAGATGTAGTGTGGTGTATGGGACGGGTTAAGGTGGAATGGCGGTGCAGTGTATGTTGGTCTAGGGGTATTTCTCTCTCTAGGAAAATGTCTCTCTCTCCTCTCTCGTTGGTCTCGAACTCACAAGCAAAATCACAGTAGTTAAGCAAGGCACTCCAAATGCTCAAATATTATTAGAATTCAAAGACCAACCTTCCAACTTTTCCTCTTTTCACCTCTCTTTTTTCACAAGTGACATGGGTTTCCTTATATAAAGAAACCACTAAATAGGGGTGGAATGCTCAAAAGTACTCCAAATTGTCAAAAATTATAGAATTAACGAATAAAAATAATCATCCCAAAATTGGACCAAATGACCAAACAGCCCTTAAGCACTTTTCTGCAAATGATAAAACCATCAATCCATGAGGGGCCTCTTGCCATGGTTGGTCTTCAAGAGCTTTTCTTGACACTTATGATAGTAATTCAGGTGATCAATCATCATAAAATCGATGCTTGCATTCTTGTGAACGTTTTGATACCTTTTGATTGCCTTGAAACATATTTTTCAGGAAGAACCCAAAATTCGGCCAAGTTCATAAACTTTGCAAATCTTTAACCATCAATGTAGCTTGATATGTGATGTTCCAAGTCTTCATTTTTGTCACAAATTGTAGAGGACACTGTCACAATCATTTTACAGTAATTTTCGTCCGTTTTGGTCTGGATTTAAGCTTTTTCCAATTTCGTGAGGTTGCTAGAAAATGGGTTTTTGGCAAGTAGAAAAACGTGCCTTTCTTCAACCTCAAAATTTGCATCATCCGGCTTCCAATTATGTATAAAACTTGTGCCAAACTGTAGCTCTTCGACACACGGTCGCAACAGATCCATTTTTGCGATGATCCGTCATTGGAATCTTGAGCTATGGCCTTCCACAGAATTAGATGTTTTCTTATGAATTTGCACATTTCCAAGCACATCTTCTCTCCGAAAATTCTCTCACTTCAGGTCATGGCAAGATGCGTGCTTTAAGTCTTTTTTACTATGAAGAGAAAACAAGATACTTTTACATGTTGCGTTTTCTTTTATTTTATGCAGTTCCAATATTTATCACCCTTCACATAAAGTATCACATCTCCCCAGCATGGTATTACCTCTCTTTGAAGTTTTTGTGTTATAAACCATACTCATGGCACACTATAAAACTTTGACTGAGCCTGAAAAATGCTTCCATTATAATGAGTACAAAGATGTTCCTTAACACGCATCTTTTGCTTTACTGCATAATAGAATATGAGCATCCCATAATAAAATTATGATATCTTTCAACACAAGAAGAGTTTATCCCTAAAACTTTTGAACATGAAAATAAACTCAAAATTACAAAGTCAATACTCAATGCCATCCCCAAATCACATCATTTAGTGAGTTTATCAATTAGCAACATATACATCACAATACAATTTTCTTAACAGAAAATCAAGTTGTGCACCTCTTAATAAAACAATTATTTCTTCGAATCCTCAAAAAATTTCTTCCTGAAATATTTTAAGTTAAAACTAGACTAAAAACCAAAATATAACTTCATTGTGTGAATCCTAAATAATATTTTTCTTCAGAGAAATAAATAAGTGACATTCATGTCACAAAATATATCACACTGCAGAATTCTAAGAAGAACATTATCTTGTAAACTTGCATTTTTCTCTCTACCCATATAGAGTTTCCTTTCCAAACCCTTTTTGTTTGGAAGTAGACACAAAATAGAAAAATATACCTTTCTAAACAGGCATCGTATCACTATGTTAAGTAATATTGACAAATATAGATATTCACATCTTAATGAAACACATCAAACTGTCGAATTCAAGATGACACCTCTCTAAGAATTTCTTTTTGATTTTCCATTAAGTTTTCTCTCTCAAGTAACTTTTGTTAGAAACTAGACTTAAAATGGCAACTTGAAAACTCAATTGTGGCCCAAAAATCATTTTGTTAAGGATAGAAGTAAAATTTTGACATTCAAGTCACATAAACAATTTTCGTTGCAGAAACCAACATTTGTGCACCATTCAATAAAATCAACATACATTTGAAACCACAAGGGCTTGTTTCATTCAATAAAATGACTATATCTTTTAAACCACAATGATTTGCTTCATTCAATAAAATGGCCATATCTTTGAAACTACAAGGGTTTGCTTCATGATATTATTTTTGTTTGAAGGTGGACTCAATTTTATGAGTTACAGTCAAATATTACCCAAAAATAAAAACGATTTGCTTCGTGGAAAAAATTCATGACACTTAATGTACAATTCTTGAATTTTATATGGATAGAAGTAGTGAAAAAAGATATGGAGACTTTTGGTCTTACTAAATGTATGACCATTGATAGAGAATAAAGGTATATGATTCATATAGCAGACCCCAATCAATTACAATGTGCTAGCAACGGGTCTGACCAACCTTGCCCCTAGTCCGTCCCTTATCCTCATAGGGTTGGCCCATGCCCAAGTAGATCGGTCTAAAGAGGCTTGAGCTCCGTGGGGCCTAATCAAACTAGGTTGGGCAAAATAATTATTAAAAATAAAAGGTTTATGTTACTCACACTATAGAGCATTTTATAATTGTACTCAATAAAATTTTGACACTTACATTGTCTTATTATGTACATGGTGCATTTTTAGAAAAAGGGTATTTTTGGTCATACGGGTGTGAAATTATCCATATGGGGTGTGACATCACCCATATGGAGGATACTAGTGGTATCTATGTGGGTGATGTCACACCCATGTGGATGATGTCACACCCCTCCTAATTATAAAAATGACCTTACTAAAAAAAAAAAGGATAAATTAGAAAAAAACCCCTAAAATCATACCTTCTAGAGAACTTACCCCAACCAAGTTTCTTTTAGAATTTACCCCAATTTTAAGTTTTTTAACAAATACCCCCAAGTCATAAAAAAGGTAAAATGAATACCAAAATTCCCTTGGGAAACATGTGCGCCAACACAAAATGGGGGTGGGGCATGTGGTTTCGCACAAAATGGGGGCAGTCTGACACTTTGCTTCTAGAAACTATGGGGATGTTGGGGAACCAGGAAATCTATTACGTGAAAATAGATTACAAGGAAATATGACATTTCCATTGTTTGGGTACACTTTAATGGAAAGAAAATGGAAAAAGATTACCTAAGATTTCCCAAAAAATCAGGAAATCTATTATGCGCAGTGAATGGTGAAAAATCTATTACGCGCTTGATAGGTAATCGAGGGAAATCTTGGGACGCATATCTCGGTGACTTTCACTGCCCAAAAATAATGTGATTTACCTCCTAATAAATCACAAAAAAAATAAAAATAATTATTCAGCTAGCACCTAAAACACGATAGCCCCATCGTCTGCAACTAATAGTTCCATTTACAAACCGAATCACGCATATATTTAAACCTAAAAAATCACACAGCAACACCATGTTCTTCAACTAGCAGCTAAAACCGGGTAGCTCCATAGCTATTGTTATTTTCAGATATCAAATATTTATTTTTTGGGTTCTGCAATCACAATTGTAGCTATTGTTCCAAACAAATAAACGGATTTGTGTTCTTTGCTAAGATCAGTCTGTTATTTTTTCTTTTTTGCTTGCTGATAAATTTGAAATACTTGAGTTCATTCACATAGAATCGTCAAATCAGTGTGTTTGAATTGTTTTATTTTATTTTATTTTATTTTTATTAACTTTTTTCAGAACTTTTTTAAATTAATTTACTTCTTCAATTCTCTCCAATGGCCCAACATAATTTCTCCTCAAATACATCTCATTTAGTCATAAACCTTCCAAATTTCTCCAAAATTCTTTTTTCTTTTGAATTTGCCCATAGAAGTTTTCTAGAGAGTGATGATCGAAAGGCTTTAGCACAAGAAAAGAAAACATAAAAAATATGATGGCTTGTCATAATAAAGAAAAGAAAACATAAAAAATATGATGGCTTATCATAATAAAAGTATGTTATTCCAAAGTGTTAACATCTTGAAAACATGTGATTCCAAGTCAAGACACAAAGGCATACAAAAGGTGTTGCTAATTCTTATGCCTGATGCAATTATAAAGTTTAAGCTACATACTAATAGGGAGTGTATGCTCAACCATGTTTTGGGTATAAAGCCAAAAAAGAAAAAAAAAAAATGTTAGTAATGTATTTTCCATATTTCTTCGCAATATAGCCAAACAGTAACAATGCATTTCCCAAGTTGCATCTAAATATTACCCAAACAGTGACAATCCATTTGCGGTAATGTATTACGCAGTAATGGATTACGCCAATAATATATTTCATGAACAATATATTTCTAGGTAAACGACCCCTATGTGGTCCGATACAAAATTGGGGTAGTTCGGCACTATGGGCATGTGGTTTGACACAAAATGCAGGTGGTCAGGTACTTTGCTTCTGGAAACCATGTGGTCTGGCACAACATAGGGGCAGTACGCACTATGGGCTTCTGGAAACCATGAGGTCTGACATAAAATGGAGGTGGTCCAATACATTAGGCATGTGGTCTGGAATAAAATGGGAAGTATTTTTATAAAAAATATGATTTTTTGACTCGTGGGTATTTGGCAAGAAAGTTAAATTTAAGGTAAAAGTTGCTACAACAAACTTTATCGAAATAGATTGTTTAGAAAGTCTCTTCCTAGAGTCTTTTTTATATTTTTTAAAATATTCTAGTATAAAATAAGATATATAAATATCTAAAATTTATTGAGTACCATTACGCCCGAACATGTCCCCAAATAAAAAATAAAGAGGCCGGGCGCGACGTTGACCCTGGCCGTGGGTCACATTTTGCCGGTCCTTATCGCGTTTGGAGATCTTTCCGATAGGTCTCATGCGCTTCTCTCTCACAACTACATTATTACTCCAGTTCCACGCGTTTTCCACAGAGCCTCTAAAATATCAACGATATTTTAATACACTGGTACACTAGGGAATATCCATTTCTCTGCATAAGCGATCTCAGTCCCGCCCGTTGACTTCAATTCTTATGCTTTCCATTGCAGCAGTGGCAAGCAGACAAAGATGCACTGCCTCAATTTTGTTCCCAGGTATATGACAATCATTTACACCTTCCTGCTATCTTTTCCATCTCTTCTATAGCTTACTCTTTATTTGAATTGTTGTTCTCTCTCTCCATCCTTTTAAATTGCTCTCTCTCTCTCTCTCCACTTCTTTTAAATTGCTATCTGTTTTTGTTGGAGTCAGATCTTATGGATGGTCACTGCAAGTATTGAATGGCAATGGCAGAATATTTTCAGGCACTGATATGGTACTCCTTCTTCAACATTCATTCCTTTTACTTACCTTTGTTCGGAGCAATCCAGTTAGTATTTTGGGTGTAATTCATTTTTCTTATCCGATTATGAATGCAGGTTGCTCTTAGGACAAGAGTGTCTCGCGTGGGGGCATCCGTAAAGGTAAATGTGCTAAGTCACAGTTTTATTGAATTGCCCTTTGGAAGTTGATTCTTTTTTAGTTTCCCATTCTGCATATGTTACGTTTCTCTGTCTTGGTTCGTTTGGTATCTTGTAATGTGTTTATTTTAAGTGTCATTTTCTTTACGTTGAATTCCATCTTCCTTTTGTTAAATTTCTGTTTTCCGTCACCCTCTATTTTCAAAATGAAAATCTTCAAGCTGATTCAAGCTTGTGCCTTCATTAAGTTTTCAAGGTTTTTACTTTGAATCAGGTTTCTTTTTTTCTTTACCACCTGTTATTCAGATCAATTTTAAATAGTGAATAGACTACAAAGTTAGAATCTATCGGGGTGTCTGTCATGGTTTCTGTTCCTTATTTGCCCTTTAAGTAATGTGGTCTTCAAATAATGAAGTTAAAATGTGTCAGGGTTGACAACTATTAGATAGCCAAGAGGAACATAAGTTGCATACTTAGCGCTTCTTTTCTTCTTAGGGCCTTTATCCAATTCCATATTATATAAACATTACGTATTTTCATTTGCATCATTCATAATTTTTGAATTTCATTTTGTGGAAATGTATTCGTTGGGCCCCCTGACCCAAGGCAGCTAGAAACTTAGTTGGCCTCGTAATAGATATGATAAGCACTCCATTTGAACTTGTTTAATTAAGTCTAAATTTTAATAATGTTTTCATTAGATGCCAAGCAGGCTTGAACTTTTCTCGTAGGATTCTGCTGCATATCTGAATCTCCGTCAGTCCACAGCTTGCTTATCTTAATCTCAGTTGCATATTTTCATATTGCTTTCCTAAAAAGTATTTGAGATTAATTAGTCCCCAGCCCATTTAAACTGCTTAAGCCAAGGCAATCCCACTGTCAAGCCGTTCCTTGTATGGGTTACTGGGGTGTAATTGGAAGCAATAATTTGTGCACAATTCTGGTTGTTTCTGATAGTATAATGTTATCTAAAACCCTCATCCATTCATAGCAGGGGAGCAAAACTTCTAATTCTTGTGCAATAACCAACAGAGCTGGAAACAAAATTCTACTTGAACAAAATGATTGGAAGAAGATGGAGATTGCACCGAGCAGAGCCAGATGCTCTCCCTTCTTTAGAAGTTTGAAAGTTGGCTCCCCTCTTCGAAACTTTTATAACTATTTTCACAAAGGTCCAATTTTCATATGTGTCAGAAAAACTATTGATTATTATGTGAATGAGAGAATGATCCCTTATGAATGGTACACTTCAGTACAAAGGACATAAATAATCTGCTACAAATGCTAAGACGTAATAACTCATGCATAAAACAGTGAAGTAACATGGAGTTCTCGTTAATGATTGTCATTTGTAAAGAACAATATAACCAGATGTATTCTGTTTTTATTGCTATTATTGTTTCCATGTGTGCATCTACATGCAAGATTTGGATAAGGATCTGTCTACCTGTGACTTTGATCTGGTTTCAGTTGATGCAGTAAAAAAAATAGTCTAGAGTGGGTTTAAAAACTTGAACTTGGTGGCCAACTTGGAATTTGTAAAAATCAAATTAACTTTCTGAGTGTAACAATAAACTTGGAAAAAATTGTGAAAAACGTGTGTGCATCCACATGCAAGATTTGGATGAGAATCTGTCTACCTGTGACTTTACACTGGTTTCATTTGATGCACTAAAAAAATAGTTTAGATTGGGTTTAAAAACTTGAACTTAGTGGCCAACTTGGAAATTGTAAAAATCGAATCAACTTGCTGAGTGTAACTATAAACTTGGAAAAAATTGCTGAGTTTTTCACAAGTTTGTTTGAGTTTTCCACTTAGAAAAACTGAAAAGGAAAAAGCAATATTATTTTGGGTGGGACCCAGTGTGGTTTGTCAAGACAACGAACCACACTTCTCCCACTCCTCGCATATGTGATTAAAACAACAAAAATATTATATATACTGAAAATTGGGCAAATCCCTTGGTTTTTTTCTCAATTATTAAACAAAGTGAATGGCCTAGTTAACTCATTGAATTTTTTTGAGTTGAAATTGAGTTTTGAAAACTGGTCTACAGCCTTATGGAATTGTTTTAGGTTAGACCCGTTTTATGCATGGCTGTTAAGATAGAACCCTACTGGCCGGTTCAGATAGAAAAACTGTAACTTGTGGTCCTACTGGTCAAACCGGGGATCCCTCCCAAACTGGTAGGGCTATTGAACCAATGCCAAATAGGTGAACTATTTCAAGACGATACTTGTACCAGTTGGCTTAACCATTCCAGATCCAATCAGCTGGTCCTGATATGGGTCCAAAATGACTGAAAAATGACATCATTTGTTTTTTCATTTTTGGGCCGACTTTTGTCTTTTTTTTTTTGGTTTTGTTTCAGGGTGTTTCATTCCTTTTAATATTTGGGAGAGTTTGGAGTTTAAAATTTCTCTTTTGGAGAGAGAGAGCTACTCTAGCAGTTCTCTTCTCTCTTCACACACACACCCACACACAAATACCCAAATCCTTGGGAAAGATCCAGCAACTTTTGGAGGGGACTCCATCCATCAATCTGCCCTGTTTCAAGCCCTAAGCAAGTCTAAACAGCCTCTTTTTGATTTGTTTGTTTTATATTAAAATAAAAAAGTTTATGATATTTAGGATTTTTGCAGAAAATAATTTTTTTCCAAAATAAATGCAGTAAGTTGGTCCTTGTATTCAATTTAATGGTTTAATGCTGTAATTGTTTGCTTTTAGTGGCTTATGTGCACTTTTTTGTATATAATCATCAGGTTGTTTGAGTTTTTTTTTTTTACTCTTTTACTTTATTTTTGGTTCTTTACCAATTAAATTGAAATACGGAGAATTGTTCCATACTTTGGATTTTGTGTATTTTTGGCTTTTTATATTTATTTTAAATATGAAAACTTGATTTTGGCTGTTTGAATACATGTATTGAAAATGATAAAACTGTGGAAATATTTCTGTAGATAGGATTTTGGTATTTTCATTTTATTTGTATTGATGTTGAAGTTATTGTAGATAATTTTTTCTTGCTGTTCCTAATAGTTTTTTTATTTTTTTCCGTTTTTACAAATTTGAGGCTTTTTTTTCTTATTTTTATCATTTTTTTCAATTTTCAGTAATTTATGGTATTTTATTTTAGTTTTTTTTTTCTCCTGTCTAAATGGATACTATCAGTACCTCCTCTGGTCTTACCACTGGTCCAGTCATAATGACATCGGCTCTTTGTCAACATGTATGTGGCAGTTGTTACTTTGGAGAAAATAGTTGTTAATTTCAGGAATGCAAACCATAACAATCTCCAATTAAGAACACGTTACGTGTTACTAGAAGAAGTGTTATGCAACATGTGGCTGTCTGATCATTTAGATCGAGTCCTGCTTGTCATGCCCAACTGTCCTGATTAAGGTGGTCTCAGCGGCGATCTGAAAATACCTGTTTGGTCAAACTCTCACGCTTGCGTTGTAATCTCCTATCAAAAGACAAGTCTGGCCATTCTCTCGTGTAAATATTAATAACATGACCTTTAAATAAATCGCCTGAAATCATATGTCGTCTATTATCTTGCAGTTATGTTGGTATTTGTTAAGCTCGGCTAGAGATGTGAATTTCATGCATGAGAGTTTGGATGGAGGATAATCTATGCATGTTGCAACAACACCTTAATTTCCTAGACAAAAATATCTATGTTATTGATAGTTACTGATTCTTATCTTTACATTAGCCTGTTTGTCCCCATGTTTATACTACACAATTCATCAAGGTTTCATTCTTAACCTGTGATCATGTTGGTAATAGAAATTAATGAGCTAGGTCCTATTGCCAGGGCCAGGGGTATTCTGAAAACACTGCTCAAACAACTGTTTCCATTGAATCTATGGAAAAGTCGGAGAAGTCTGAGATATATAGTTCAAATATGACCCAAGCGATGGGTGCTGGTAATTTTTATATAAAATTCCTTGTCTAGGATTTCATTATTACTTTTGAATTTCTATCTCTAACTACTCTTTAGGTAACTTTCTTGGTCTTTGTTTGGTATTTCTTGGACTGCTTATCTGTGTCAAAGTTGGATCTCTCTAAGTTGCCTTTTGTTGTTGGAAGTGTTGACATATCGGCATGAGCTAGGAATGAACTACAACTTCATTCTCCCAGATATAATTGTTGGATCTTGCCTACAGGTCTGCACATTGATTTTTCTTGCATTTGAATAGATGTCACTGAGATTATGTTTCAGTTTCTTATTCTAAGCTCTTCATGTTAGACCCCTGGGGACGTTGATAAGCTTCGGGAGATTGGTGTGAAAACCATATTTTGCTTGCAACAAGATTCTGACCTTGAGTATCCTATTCTCTTGAAGAGCTCCCTTTCGTTTGAACAATGTTTGGTCTTCTATTTTACCTCTTACTGTGTTAAAGAACATTTGTCAGCTGTATTGTGTTGAGCTGGAAGATGAGATGACAATATCTTATGAAGTGCTCCTTAACAGAGCTTTTTTAGATACTTCGGACTTGACATCAAAGCGATCCAAGAATATGCAAAACAATATGATGATATTCATCACTATCGTGCTGAGATAAGGTGAACATTTTTTGGCTTGTATATCTAGCTTTCACTTTTCAGCTTAATTTTTAGATTATTTTTTCTTTTTCTTTTTTTTGGTTAGTTTGCAGGGTTTCTGTGTCATAAATTTGCCAGTAGGGATGATGTCAGGATGTCTTGCCTAGTGTTTTCTTATGTCTTCTCTAGAATTTCAGAATGTTTGAATAATTGGTGTTGTTTAATGTTTTATCCTACTAGTTATTAACTTATGCTTATGGCTCTTTTCAAATTTTGGAATGCGGAATTTACTTTCATCAATTGGGATCATAGTTGGACATAAATAGTAGTTTATGTCAGCCTATGTATTCTTTCAGCCAATATATTCTTTAAAGTTTAAATAAGTCGGATTTTTTCTTTTTGTCCTAGTTAATAGAAAAAGAGCTTTTGTTTTTGTGTGTGCCATTGGAGTTCACCTTTATAAGTGTATTAGAAGTTACATCCTGGAGACTAAGAGCCGTAGAAACTTTGAAGTGTGATTATGGTCATAGTTATGTAAGGTGATCTCTTCGGTCCCCTAGGTTATTGCCTTTGACAAGGTGATGCTATCTCTCCTTGAATTCAGTTGAGGCAAGAAGTAGCTTTCCGAAAATATCCTGTTCACAACTCACTAAAAATAGAAGATGAGGTTGCTGAATGTTTGGCTGAAGGTTATGGCGCTTCACAATATTTGGTTACAGGTTGCATTTTGTTCTACATATGCATGCTCACACATATGAAATTATACATAGAGACATATGAATTCTTTATATTCGTCACCTAGAGGCAAATTGCTTATCCCAATTTACCATATCAACAAACAATCTAGCTCTATTTTTGGAAAATTATGGTTCTGCTCCAATATCCAAAGTTAACTATGAATTTTGATTAATTTCAAAGTTCCTGCAGTTCCCAAGACCAATTCCAAATGATTCCTAATGCTACTAGTGCTTCATTAAATTTCAAGGCAAAACATGTTATGCTTTTAAACAGGTGAGTAATGTGGAAAAGGATGGAAGAGTGGTGTCTTGGGCTCCTAAACATTAGCAAGTAGCTCCTAGAGTCATGTGGTTGCCTGGCAAAGATTTTCTTGTCCTTTCGTAATATGCAACAATATGTGATGAAGCTTTTCCATAATGTTTCTTTTTTAATCATTAAAGTCACACATTATGGCCTTCCACGGTTTCTTATACTTAATGTATAAGAAAAGCAAGGAAGAAACCTTTCTGTCTTGCCAAAACACTAGGTGAATAAATTTCCTTAAAAATTGTAATTTGAAGTGTTTAAGTGTCCAAGTCTTTTTCTTTTTTCTTGGGAAGTATTAAAGTTGGATCACTTCTCCCGTTTCATGCATACATCACTCCTTACTGTACAAATTGCAATTTGAGTTTTTATCTTCTGTCTGATGTGAAATTTTAGTAATGTTTGTAAGTACACAACACAAAGTACAACTGAGATTGGCTCAGGCTGACATACTGTGACTCAAAAACTTATATATAAGGTCTAATTTTGATGTGTTTGAGATTGAAACCTGCTGTCCTGTTTTAATTTGCTTTGGTCCATTTCAAGTACGAACAGATAGGTTAAAACCTAAAAAACTCTGGTATGAGGCTATATTTTTTTGGGTAAGTCTGGTATGAGGATATATGCACACACTAAACTACACAACCCAAATGTTAGAATGCCCTTTTGCACATATCTCTTTACCAGCATCTTTAGTACCAATACCAACATGATGAATTTACCTATACATATAAGATGAACACTGAACTCTTACAGACAACATGAAGAATGCTCCAATAAAAGTCATTACATACAACATGAAGAATACTCCAATACAAGTCATAGCTCTATTTGACATTAAAGATCTACTTGGAAGAAGCAAATTGTGGAGGCGTTATCAACCTTGGTGGTTTTGTCTGTCAAGGACACTAGGGTTTATCCTATTTTATTTAGCATTAACCGAGAGTCTAGACCTTTTACTCCTTGTTCATATTTATGGTTTTCATACTTGCACATTTTTCTTTTTAATTTATATTTTGTAGTAATACTTTCTCTCTCTACCTCATTGTCGGTATGACCCTTGATAGAGCAAAATGGTGGACCAGGATTTGTGTAGTCTACTCTAAATAGTTGAAAAAAGGCTCTGATGATATATCTATATATATATATATACACACAGATACATAGACACACGTTATCTATATTATTTGCTTATGCTAGGGCGGTCCCATAAGCGACGTGTTTTACCAAGAGACTTCTTCATAGTTAAGAAGGTAGATCATGTAAACGCTGTAAGGTTTTCCTACGAGAGAATTTGATTCGCAGCATAGGCTCGTGATTATGGACGCCTGCATAAAGAGATGGAAGAGAAGGAGTGAAATTAATAGGTGTCAAAGAATTAGGTGGTGAAGTTTTAAAAATGAGAAAATAGACTTATTTAGGGATAAATTAGTTAATAAAAAATAGAACTCTGAACATGAGGTCAACATTATGTGGAATGAAATGGCTAACTATATTAAGAAAATGCAAACAAGTTTTAGGAGAAACTAGAGGGAAAAAAATTTGGATGAAGAAACTTTGGTGTGGAATGATGAGGTTTAGAAGGCCCTTAGTGAAAAACGATCATGTTATAAACCTTGACAATGTAATAAAAATGAAGAAAACTTAGAAGAATATAAAAATGTTAAGAAAATGCTAATCAAATAGTAAGTAAGGCTAAATCTAAGGCATATGATAATCTACAATGTGAATTGAGAATGTGGAGAGAGAAAAAGTGTAGGGATCTAGACTGTATTAAATAATTTAAGAATGGAGATCAAAGGGTCTTGGCGAAAGATGAAGAGGTCAAAGAAAGGTGGAGAATTTATTTTTAACAATCATTAAATGACAATTACAATGGGAACACAACGGTAGAAAGAACTGTTGGCATAAGTGAGTGTGGAGGTCATAGGTACATTTGAGGATTGGGATATCAGAAGTGATAGAAGCTTTGAAGACAATGAAGACAGGCAAAGCTTTAGGACTAGATGATATCTTGATAGAGGTTTGAAAGTGCATGGACAAGATCGACATTGATTGGCTGACCAAGTTGTACAATAAGGTGTTGAGAACAAAGAAAATACGAAACGAATGGTAAATGGCTTAAGTTTAACGATGTTATAAAACATGGCAATCTTGAGTGCACTTTCGATATCTTGGCTGATAATCGAGGAAAGAGGAAGATGTCGTATATAGAATTAAAGTTGGATGGACAAAGTGGGGATGTACAATTGGAGTTTTATGTGATCGCTACATAGCAACAAAGCTAAAAGAGAAGTTCTATAGGACAACTATGAGACCAGCTTTGCTTATGGGGTAGAATGTTGGGCGGTCAAGAAACAACATACTCATAGGATGAGTGTACCTAAGATGAGAATGTTGAGATTTGATGAGTGGCAATATAAGAATTGATTGGCTGACCAAGTTGAACAACAAGGTGTTGAGAACATAGAAAATACCAAATGAATGGTAAATGGCTTAAGTTTAACGATGTTATAAAACATGGCAATGTTGAGCGCACTTTCGATATCTTGGCTGATAATTGAGGAAAATGGAGAGATTGAGGAAGATGTCTCATATGGAATTAAAGCTAGATGAGCAAAGTGGGGATGTATAATTGGAGTTTTATGTAATTACTACATAGCAATAAAGCTAAATGAGAAGTTCTATAGGATAACTGTGAGACCAGTTTTGCTTATGGGGCAGAATATTGGGCGGTCAATAAACAATATACTCATAGGATGAGTGTAGCTAAGATGAGAATGTTGAGATTGATGAGTGGCAATATAAGAAGGGATAGAATTCAAAATATATTCGAGAGAACTTAGGTATGGTTCCAATAGGCTATAAGATGAGAGAAAGTAGACTTAGGTGGGCTAGCCATGTGTAGTGCAGACCCAGTATGATACTTGTCAAGAGGTGCACGTTGGTTCAAATGGAAGACTCAAAAAGGGCAAGGAGTAGTGATGCGGGGAGAAAAATAACACGTGAACAATACAAATAAAAAAAGAAAAAGTTGAAAGAATATACCCTCTCTCAAGGTCTGCAAGGGAATCCACTCCCAAAAACGATATCTTCACAAGACCAAATTTTATTCAATTCTCAGTCACTGCCTTTATAAAGAAAGGATATCTCCTTCTAAATAGACTATAAAGAAAAAAAAAAAAAAAAAAAACTAAACCAAAAAAACCCATAAAAAAAAGTTACTCTCTTTCTCTCTCTACCTTGCACGTATATCTCAATCCTTCAATATCTAGATCTCCTTAAAGCTTTCATTCTTCCCACTTACCATAAATTTTGAAGATATCCTTAAATCTCTCTTTTTTCCCACATACCATATTTCTTGAAGATCTCCTTCTCTCCAAAAGATAAGTCTCTTTAATCTCACGTTAGCCTTATCTACCAATCTAACCATAGGGTAAATTATCCCTATCAAACTCACGTACAAAAAATCTCATACCCACCTAATTGTCCCTGCGCACCTCCTATTCTTAAGAAAAATAAACAAAAGAATAATAAAATAAAAAATTAAAATAACCCTAATTTTATTTGCATCAGGTAGGCTCAAAGGACATGGTTGGAAATAGTGAGAAAAGATATAGAGATTTATAACTTCACTAAGGGTATGGCCCTTGATAGAGCACAATGACGAATCGGGATTTGTGTAGCCGACTCCAAAATAGTTGAGAAAAGGTTAGGATGATATATATATATATATATATACATATTAGCGACTTTTGGTCTTACCGAGGGTACGACCCTTGATAGAGAAGAATGGAGGAACAAAATTTATGTGGCCGGCCCTAAATAATTGGGATAAGGCTTGGATGATGATGATGATGACTCTCTTTCTCTCTCACGGACACAGATACCTTCCATATCCACCATTTGTTCTTGAGTATCGATGATGGTGATGAAATGTATCATACATTTGGTACGATACATGAACATAGTATGCAATCCTGCAAGTACACATTTTTTATATATGTTGTTATATATATAACTTTGCATGTGTGTATTCTAGTCGTAGCCTCAATTTCCTGTACTGAGGTTTATTGTCATTGTTTTCTACAACTTAATATGATACTAGAGCCTTCTACAAATCCTTAGGGTTGAGCTATGTCATTTGAAGTGCTGGAGATTATGGACTTGCCTGATCAATGTGTGACATCAAGTATCAGAATATACTTTTTATGATAAGTCACCACATATAAGAGTGTTTTCTATTCAATTTCAACTTTTTCCATGGTTGATATGATTCGAAAAGAAGAATTGGTTTAGAAATATCTGAACTTCCTCTCTCTTGTTGGTTATGTGGTCCTGGTTTCCTTTATGTTTCTTTGTGATTTTGAAGACTTGTTCCTTTTTCCCATGTCATGTGATGGATTCCTGCATTTGTAGGGGTGATTATTGTACAATCCCAAAACCTTGATTAGATCTCAAACCACCAGAAAGTGAATCTCAAAAAAGAGCAATCTGTCTTGCTTGTCTTTCTATCTCACATCTATATGTATCTTGGTTTTGGGTTGAGCAGGGACTTTGATGCGTTTGACTTGCGAATGAGGCTTCCAGAAGTTGTGAACAAGTTGTATAAGGCCATGAACAGCAATGGGGGTGTCACATATGTGCATTGCACAGCGGGGCTTGGAAGAGCTCCTGCTGTAACGGTGGGTGGTTCAGTTTTCACTTGAGATGGAAAGCAACTCTTCAGATGGTCACGCTGAACTCTGCTGAACTACTTGTGGTTGTGCATGCATGCGTTGAAATGTTATATGAATGTGTTTTCTACAAGAACAGAAATAGCTATGCACATGTTATAGTGATAGCTTTTTTAGGATTGGATTACTGCCACACTGCTACTGTCATAGTTAATCAAATGATTGAACAAGTTTAAATGTTCCCCCTTTATTATCTATATGTTGTAGGTTTCCTTTATCTTTTCTCTATATTTTTGAATATTTATACTACCATTTCATGGAATATGATACATCCTGAATTTTGAAAATGATTATGTATCGTGCTGAGAGCTTAAAAATATCTCAAACCACGACAAAGTGATCATTGTTTCGAAAGGGAACCCCTTCTGAAAGGTCTCTTGCTTGAAACTTTCAGGACAGAGAGCAAAAAAAGAGCTACTTTCCTGATGAAGTTCTACTTTAGTGAAATATGATAAAAAAATAATGAAATGTTTGATGAATTGTTGATGAACTGTTGATAAGCTATGGTCTGTGAGGGTGGCTCATGTAGTATCTCACACAACATGACGATGGGTAATGCTATGTTGGTTGCAGGTTGATTAGTGAGCCTTAGGCTACTTTTTACTGATTTCGGCCAAGAATTTACTGATTTCAGCAGAGGTTTTGCTAATTTCTGCCTAGAACTTGCTGATTTCAGCCTATGGTTTGTCAATTTTCTACGTAAGATTTGTGTTTTCAGTAAACCTATGGCAACAAGAAGGTGTTGTTGAAGGAGAACTCTCATAGATACCTTTGCCAAAGATTAAAAAATTGAATAACTTAGGAGGTAAGTTTAGCAGCTTGCATGACAATTAGCGGGCATTATTCATAGGGAAGACGGTGATCTTTCCGACTAAGAAGATGTCGAGTACAGCCCTTTTCACCATCATATACTGTGTGAGGAGTCGAGCGATGAGGAAAGTGATAGAAGACCTAGAAATGGGGGACATCACTCTAGGGTTTTCTATTTAAAAGTGAATATTCTTGATTTTTACACAAGTTATTTTCAAAATCAGCAGGTTGTAGATTGTTATTCACCACCAATCTTCAATACATGCTTAGATAAACAATAAGTTCTCTTAGGAGATCTGATCTATGGTAAGGTTTAAGATGAAGATGAAGATGTTTTTGAAGAAGATCTTGTTTGTGAAGAATAAAATCGAGGCTGTTGAAGATCTCAAGGATATCAAAGAGGTGGATCATTCAAGAGAATTAGTGCATTGGAATCATCGTAGCGTTGCAAAAGCATGGTCGACTCATAAACTGCAAATTGCAGCCTTGGATTTAGAGAAGACTTAAATAGATGCTGAGAAAGCCTCTAAAGGCCAAAAAAATCGAGTTTGAAGTTTCTTACACTATTTTCAAATGGGAGTTCAGGGATAGCCGAACTTGATAAATTTGTACTCACCAATATATATATCTAGATATGTTTCTTGAGGGTAAAAGGCTCGGGTAGCCAGCACGAGCACGGGTTCGAGTCATGAGAGCGGCCACTTTGTACATAAGCCAAAGGTTAGGACCGTTTCCTGCCCACCCCTCCTCGGATCGTGCTTAGGCATGACCAGCATCGGGTTACAGCCTTTTATGTTTTTAGAGGGTATGACCCTTAATAGAGCAAAATGGTAGACCAGGATTCGTATAGCTAACCCCAATTAGTTGGGAAAAACTTTGACGATGAAGATATTTCTTGAGCATTTCTTCTTACCACAAATAATATTTGAGAGAACAACAAAGAAGATGGTTGAAGAAGGTGATTTTGATTCTGAATTCATCTTATCACACTTTAAAAAAAAAGAAGATGGTTGAAGAAGGACATGTTTTCTCCAACCAGGGGAGACTAATTCAAGACAAGATTATTCTTTTTCTTAAATTTTGTTTAGGGATTCTAGGGTTTTGTTTTAGATTTTAGGATTTTAGGAGGTTTTAGAAAAGGAGTTGGTGTGCTTGTGAAATATTTTGTTTCTTCAGGTGTAAAAATGTCATTGCAAATATTGTGTTTAAATTGGGACTATTTATCCAATTTTGTTCTAGCTGAGGATATTTTAGGCATTATATGTCAAATAAAATATAAATAAGAGGCGCATGGGGCCTTTAGTGGTCATTCCACATGATTTTCAAATTGAAGAAAGAGAGAGAAAAGCTTAGGCTTTTGAAGCCCTAGTTGACTTGAAAAAGAACCCTAGGTTTCTTCTATTTGTTTCACATGCTTGGCTTGAAGTGTGTTGATTTTATTGTTCGCTATTAGTTTCTGCTCATACTGAGACCTGGTGGCTATCCCGGCGATCCCACGGTCCTGGAGTTAGACCTTGGGTGGATCTTGCTCCTATATGGGAGGAACCCAACCCTAATCCCTTAATATCGCTCGATATAAGTCACACTCATGTTAGATTGATCTTTTATTAGGAAACAAGTCTTAAATGCATATCCTTGAAAAAAAAAATTATATTGCAAGATCATGGGCAACGATCCCAACAATAGGGAGCTTATACCCTATCGCGATCCCACACTTGCTATGTCGCTTCAGCTCCCGATCCCACTCCTGATCCCAAGAACTATGGTTTCATTCCATTATGAAGTTCTGAAATATAAAAATTGGAGGTCTGATCCTAATGAAAAATTGATGGCCTGACTGGCTTTTTTGGCAGTCAAATGTGCTTGGCAGAAGTGCTCTTTGGAGGTGCCGTCAGAAAGTGCTTAATCTTGAGCCGAAGAGTTTGATAAACTGCTGTGCTTCAGGCAAAGAAAGAAATGGAAATTTTAGCTTCTTTGGCGGATGCAAATCAAACTTTATCATGTTGCTTTTGTTTCTAATGGAATCTTTGTTATCCTGGTGGCTGTTATCCTTTGAAAAAATAGTATTTATATTCTTGTTTCTCTCTCCTTTAAGAGAACATTATTGTGCTGGGTGTAGAGTTCCATTGAGCACCATGCACAAGATTAGTGAAAATTATTATTTGTTTTTCTTATCTTGCCTGATGGAGATTTGTGTTGTATAGTTGGCATACATGTTTTGGGTTCAAGGTTACAAGCTCGGTGAAGCAAATAGGCTTCTACAGGTAATCCACTTTTATGCCTAATTGGTGTTACAAGTAGTGCAGTTGACCCTAATTCACATTAACTGTGTATGCAAGGGTGTATCCACATTTACATTCTTTTATTCATGAAGTTGGTTTGTAAATTTGGACTTCCATTGATTTTCTTACTATAGCATAGGTATAGCAAATAACTTTCTTCATTTAGGAATTGAATGTTGGGCCAGTTAGGTACTGATCATATTCTATTGTGTTGATCTACCATATTGAACTAGAACTGCAAATGAGGAATAACTTGGTACTTAATGACACATCAAACGATGAGAGCAAAAGGATGAAGTGCAGGTGATACTCATATTATATTGTTTAATAGATTGATGCCTAAAGAGTACCTTAAGCTGGTCAAAAATTGAATTTGCCTCAATGTTTTCCTATTTCTTGCTTAGGCAGCAGTGAATCCAACATCATTTGTTTGAGGCACCGGGTTCTATCCATCATTAAAATCCTTCTTACCAGTTATTTTTCCTCATAGGGGAATTAGTATATTTTCTCTCAAGTGGCCAGAAGATGTTGTCAAAAACAAATTGAGCCATGTGTGCAATATGAAGTTTAAAACATTTGATAGCTTGTGGTTTCTAGTGAAGGATATGTTTGTTACTTTGTTATGAGCTCTGCCTAGGAGCCATATGAGCAGGTCTCAGGTAGTGCGTCTCTAATTTAGAGTGATGCATTAGTTTGTTGGATGATTTCTTTATATTGCATCAAATGGCTAAGTGTTGATAGTCCTTAAAGTCGGGGGTTTCATCAGCATATCTATGTGTTGAGTACTTGTTTGCATAATTATGTCGAAAACATGTTGTAGGGAACTAAGACGATTGAATGGATTAAATAATACAGCACTTCGTAACTTAGAAAGTTGGATTCTATAATACATAACTTTGTAACTTAGAAAGTTGGATTCTAATTTATGAACATTCATAGACTTCTAGGAAATTCTTGAATTAACACATGTTATTTCAAGAAGTTTGGATTCAAAGTATGGTTATTGCTGTTCAAGAAGAAGGTTTTAAAAGGATTTACTAGGGATTATTGTTGGTTTTTAGGCAATGTTGTCAGGATTGGACTAGTGATCAAGCCAACGAGTGCACCAATCCGGACAGGCCAGTTAGACTGGATTGGTTTGCCGGCCGGACTGGTGGTCTAATTTAATAAGAAATGTAGATAAACAAGGAAACAAACTAAAAAAGGAAATTAATGAAAATTTATAAAAAATTAGGAACATTAGAAATAAAATTCAAAATAATGTTACAAGAAAAAAGAAACCATCAATCATGTAACTAAATAGTCAGATAGTTATTGGAGGCTCATAACAAGAAAATCCTTATACAAGAAGCTCATTGATCATAATCATGAATATAAACTTATGAAAGCATAAATAAGTTGGAACCCTCTTCACCACCACAACTTTCTGCAACTCCACCGTCCATACCCCATGATCCCATAGCCTTTAAAAGTTAAAAGGTTCTAAGCTTTTAATAATATTATAAAACCCAAGTTAAAGTGAAATATTATACTCAAAGACAGTTTAAAATAAAATATCAAATCAAATGGAATCAATAATATCAATAGTCGTCAACTTCATTTCCTTAATTTTCATCTTCCTCCTAAGCATTTGAATCCAAAGCACCAAACTCTATGACATCTTCATCCATTTTACCTATAATAAGTTTTCATATTACTAAGTAAGCAACATACTTACACCTACATCCTTAAAGCGCATTCGGTGAAGACTTATAAGTTAAAACATAAAAATAGTGAAGTAATTTAAAATTAAATTTACCTCCTTGTGATGGTTCTTCCAATTCCATTCAATTATCTAATTGGTCTTCAAGACCTTCAAGAGCTTTCCTCTCTTTCTCCACGACCAATTCATCCACAATATCTATCTGTTTCGAGTCCACATGGTCCATCGCTTTGGTTTTTCCATGACCCTACATCCCATGGCATTCCTAATTATATAGAATTATAATTCAAAAAATTGTAAGCATAAATAGATTAGGAAAGAATGCAAAAATAAGAAGAACCTATTACCTCTCTACCAAGGTTAGGTTGTATTGCATGAAGATTAAGTCGTTTACTCTTTATGCTCCAATCGTTTGCTTGTCCATATGAACGCATTGGAAAATGCTCTAATTTCTGTCATAACTACTTGCACTACGAGTTTGGTTGAGAAACAGATAACAAAAATTTGAAGTTTTGGAACCTCCCCACAAATCGTGACCACCAATTCACTGAAATTGAAAATTGAATAGGGTATGATATATATATTTTTGATAAAAAAAAAACTCTTAATTGGATTAGCTAAAAACACTTAATCAATGAGGAAAGCTAAATAAAGAAACTAACTGCAAACTGCAACGATATGGACCCAAGTGCAAATTTACTTCCTAATCTTCACTTGCATATTTATATCTAGGTGAAACTTTCCATCATTATGTACATGACAATTGAAACCTCAGAATGAATTGAAAATGTGGCCTTGTTGTAGAAGTATTTCGGGTTATGAAATAAGCAAGTGCATTTATAGGCTACATGTCCTATCTATCATCTATATTTTCCATATTTCTCACAGTGGGTCTTTTTGTGCTTATAAGATTTCACAATGAGCTCCTTGGCCTTGTCCATTGCCTTATATATATATAACCTATGACAAGTTTAGAGTTACCATGCATCTACAATCCTAAGGGCTCTGTAACTCAAATTACATTTGGCATCACCGGTTCAAACTTAACTTCTCAAAGCCACTACCACCATCTCCTTTCCACTAATCTTCTTATCCCACATGGAATACCCCCTCTCACCAGATGTAACCATGGATCTAAGGTCATCCTTTTACAATAACATACTCTATAAAGTGATGAAGCAGAAAATCTAGTAATGAAGGGCCACATGAACCCTTTTCCCTGGGTATGTTTCCTCATAAGATTGATGACAAAGCTATGGTTGTAGATAAACTCTGGCAATTTCCTTTGCCTTATCTACAAACTTTCCACAATGTTCTATTTCACTCTCTCCCCTATCATTTAATCCTTGCAGTAGGCTGCATATGATATCAAAAATGTAGTGGGATAATGTGCTTGTAGCAACTGCACCCCAAGGGCGTAGTTAGATGCATTATTTGTATTAAATTGGATCACATCTTCCTCAACTATCTCCCTAAACAATTGAAATAATGCCTTCCTAGTTTTTATTATCTTGGAGGTATCCACTGCATCCAAGAAATTAGTTCCCTTGTAAAATACACTTAAAAAGAATAAATAATTACCTTTGTCTATTATCTTTCCATCCATCAGCCATGATGAAGCATCCTTTCCCCACCCATATCACCTGGAATGATTATGTGTAAAGTTTCACATGTCATCTACATTCTTCTTGAAGTAATGTAGTCCTAGAATCAGGGGGCCTTTATACCCTGAACTATGGATGCTACTGCATCCAACATAAGTTGGAAAAAGGAGCTTAGGGCATTAAATAGGACAAAGTTACGATAATTCACTCGACTATGGACATGTTTGCCTTTTCTATTGCTTTGTCCCTAGGCAACACACTTGTGATGGTTTGGTTGGGAGTCTAGCGCTGTCCCAGGTGGAAAACACTCTCTATCCCAGCTTTATTTTTTGTTTGGGGAGGGGGGAGGGTTGGGGTTACTCTTAGGCTTGCGGGAGACAAAAGGATTAGAAAACATAGGATCTTTCCTAGTCTCCTCCAAGCATGAGGGAGCTCCTCATCTCCTTCCTCATGCTCATATCATTGTCATAGAGCTCCTCATCCAGGGTAAAGATTCCCTATGTCATTAGAAATTTCTTACTTCCTTGACTTCTCAACCACATGATGTTTGATAGTTTTTTGCATCTCAAACATTAGTAAGAGGGAACCTTGGGGCATTTGGCCACAATGGCCACATTCCCAATTTTGTGGGCTAAATACTCGTCCACCCTATGATTCCCATCTCCCTTTATTTGTTTAACACGATACATGCACATGTTCTCATATTTATCTCCCTTTAGGACCCTTTTTACATGACCCCATGCCAGGTCCGATTTACAATTTGTAAACTTAGTTGAAGGCATTTTTTCTCTAATGCGGACAACCAATAACCAAATCACAATGATAACACCCAGAACCACTACCCATTCACACAATTCACACTTCACAAGTTCATAATATTTTCAAGTTTACACTACTACCTAAAAAATAAACATGGCAACAACATTCTGTTGATTTTTTGAGAGGAAAAAATAGTTAAAAAACTCAAAAAACTGAAAATAGTTGCTGTTCTCTATTTATAATTTTGTAAATCAACATACAAGTGTAAAATCCATTTAAAAATTAAAACTGAAAATGCAAGAAAATTGCACACGAGAATTTGTTTTTATTTTTTGTTGTTTAGCTTTTTTTTTCTTAACTCTTTAGGGCTTCTACAATATGTAAAGGCCCTTAAAATTCGAAAGCGAAATAAGAAAAATGCAATTTTTTTTTTTTTTGATTTTCTGTTTTTTAATTTTTAGGAATTTTGAAATTGAAGAAAATCCCTTAAAAACCAAAGTTTCAGTTACAAATTTTATGTTTCCATTATTTATTTAATTTTCTTTTTGCATTTTTTGGTTATTTCTTTTTGAAAGGTGGACAATGTGATCTAGCCAAATATATATAGTAAAATTTTTCTTTTCTTTCTTTTATTCATACCAGCTAGACCACTTATAGGTATCCAAAATTACAACTTTAATTTATAAAATAAACTCTAATGCAATCTAGGATCAACTCTTGCAAGCCATTACAATTTTTTAGAATCAAACAAAACACAATGCATGAAGTTGAATCAAGAAACCTGGAGCCATTAAAATTACCGATTACCTTGCCTCAGGTTACCCCAAGGACATTGTACACCCCACACCACGTCTCCTCCATCGATGGTGCACGGGATCTCGGTCCTAACCTTGTCTCATAATTCGGGAAGCCTAGGC